TCTTGTACACAGGTGGGCAAAAGAGATTATTGCATTACTGGTCCCTACTGCATGGAGGATGTTGAGCTGAAGATCCTTCTAAGCTCAGAACACTTCAAAGTCTTCTGTCTCCCTTTGAGCAGAGACAAACTGCTTTCTGTGGCTGCAAAGAGAACCAAAGCCCATTCTGACATTATCTCCTATGCATTAGATTACTTTGATGGAAATTTTTATTTACTTATTTTTCTGTCGGTTGTGGGGCCTGAACTCTGGGCCTGGGCACTGTCCCTGCGCTCTTCAGCTCAACTCGAGCACTCGACCACTTGAGCCACAGCACCACTTCCCTATGCATTAGATTACTTATGCTATTGTAACAGATTATCATGAACTTGGGTCACTTTAACTGACCACACAAGTTCTGTAGTTCTGTAGACTAGAAGTCCAATATGAGTCTCAGTGTCTACATTCAAAGCATTGGAAGGGCTGTGGTCTTTTCCAGAGGGCTAGGGAAGAAGCTGTTGCTAGCCTTTTCCAACTTCTAGAGGCCACTAGCTTCTTTGGGATGTCTTCCCTTCCTCCTTCTTCAGAGCCATCAATGTGCATCTGTCTGATCCTCCTTCAGAATCAATCTCCCCTCCCCTCCACCGCCACCACCACCACAGCAGAAAAAGTCCTCTGATTTTAGGAGGTTCTATGTCCACCTAGACAACCCAGATAGCCTCCCTATCCCTCAAGGTCCTCCTCTGAGACCCATCTGCAAAGTCTATCTGCTGTGTAGAGTGGCATAGTCCCAAGTGCTGGACTTGGACATACATGGAGAACTGTTTTCTTCCTACATCATCCTAACCATTCTCCTGACCAACCTGCCCCACCGAGCTAATCACCAGTCAAGCTATGTGTATTCAGATTCAGGGTTCAAGCTATGTGTATTCAGACTCAGGGTTCAATCTTTTGTTCCCTCTGCCTGGAACACCCCAGATTCTCCAGATCTTACATAGCTGCATGGCTTGTACCCTACTTCCTTCATGCCTCTCAGATGTCACCTGATTAGAGAGGGACCTCCCAACTCCCACCCTCCCCATCTCACTGAGTCCTCCTTCCTGCTTTGCTTCCTTGTCTTTACCACCTCTGGCATTTGTTCGTATGTTGTGTCCAAACTCCTCCCATAGCACAGGGATTCTTATCCATTTTGATTATGGCTGCATCTAGAACAGTGGCTGCCATAGAAGAGATGCTCAGTATATATTTATGGAAGGAAGGGCCGAAGGGCCATGCACTGAGGACCCTGCAGAGAGCTTGTGTGAAGGACCAGACTCAGTGTGTTTGTCAAGGAAACTGGCAGAAGCCTTGGCAGAAGAGCCTAAGGATGGAAAACCCTTTCCTTCTGGTGGAGGAGTTCTTCAAAATCCTTTTTCCTGGGAAGTCTGCTCTTTGAGAGCACATGGGCTTAGCAACTCTCATTTATTTGGAATGGTTGAAGACAGAAATACAAGGATAAGCCATGTCTTCCACATTCCTCCTACTATTGGAAATCTTTAGTAAGCTGACCAGAGTTACATCAAGCTAAAATCCATTTTCCATTTAATGCATTAGAGCCTCTTCATTGGGCCCCAGGAAGCCACGTGCTGCTGCAGCTGCTCCATCTGCCTGTGGGAGGGGGAGATGGAACTGACAGGCAGAATTCAAATGCCATCCCTAGTAATGGACACAACAGTCACAGGCCTACCGAAATTGAAACCCAGTCAAAGTGATAGACTGGCACTTCTTCTCGCTCTCCTTTGGGAACACTTTGACCTACTTAGAGGCAAACATTTTTGGAAGATAGAGCCTGGAGTGGGTTGTTTTTAGCATCACTAGCTATAGCTATCTTTCACTTTGATAAATAGCTCTCTCTTCCTGTACTCAGGTGAGCTCAGGGGCCGCTTGGCACAGGTCTCTAGGAACCTAGCCTTCTGCTAGTAGCTCTGCCTCTCTGCCCTGTACAACATTCTGGGGAAACACTGGATCCTCTTGTGTGCTCTCACTCTCTTTACCAATATTTCCCTCCCCACCTTGGGCCTGGTTTAGACCAGAAAGGGATCAGTGGTCAGTAATGAAAAACAGAGAGTGTTGGATAAGATGATCTGGGGCTTAACACTATTGGGGGTGAGACAGCCAGAAGAGACAGGCAGGTATCAAGTGGGCAAGGTGTAGAGAAACACATTTATAGGGCAGTTGGTTGAACCAGATGTGTGATGCAGTAATCCCAGCACTCAGGAGCCTGAGGTAGGAAGACCACTGAGTCCTGAACCACATAGCAAGGCTTTACCTGTGAGGAGTTGCCCATAGCAAGACCTTACCTGTGAGGAGTTACCCATGTGGACATTACACAGTTTTGAAAGAAATGTATGCTTGGAGTTCAAATTAAATGTAAGAGCAGCATGCACATTGCCCCTCCTTTCTCTAATCTCAAGTATTTCCAGTCGCTGATAATTGTGATCCCAGTTCCTCTATCCTGTGTCCCAACCTGGTCTGTTTCTGATTCTTTTTGTCTATCTACCCCACAAAACTGAACCAACTGTGCCTCCTAGAATTCACCATATTCTTTTTCTTTGTCTTTGCTCTGGGAACATGTTTGACCCAGTTTATATTGTATTTACCATACTAATTCACATATATAGGTAAATGTTGTGACTTGCATATAGTAGATATTCAGATACTAACTACTTGTTGAATAAATCTTCAGGACTTGTCAAGAATTATATATATATATATATGTATATATAAAGAATTATATATATGTATATATATATATATATATATATATATATATAAAGAATTAGATATATAGCCAAATGGAGGACAGGACTGTGTTACTTAGAGAAAAATTAAAACTATCCTGATGTCAGCAATCAGGTAGATCATTGGTCAGAATTCTACACCTCAAAGATGAAAATTAAAGAACATGTACTTGTCAACCAAAGAACATATAGGGGACTAAATGCTGGGCATAGTGATATGCAACTGGAGCCCAGCTGAGGCTAAAGGATACTTGGTGGAGGTTCAAGGCCATCTTAGGCAACAAAATGAGATGTCTAAAAAAGCAAGGGAGGGCGGAGGATCGGAGGGAGAGAGGAAGAGAGGAAGGAAGGAAGGAAGGAAGGAAGGAAGGAAGGAAGGAAGGAAGGAAGGAAGGAAGGAAGGAAGGAAGGAAGGAAAGAACGAAACACAAAAAAAGACATAAGCAGAAGAATGGTCAAGGGACCAATTGTCAGAGTTGGAGAAAACAAAGACCTTGTGTCCAAGTACTTTCTAAACTGTTCCTTCTGAGTCCAATGGATGTTTATAGTCCTCAGCCCTGAGTTCATACTGAAAACTGAATTCATATTTCAAACCCATAGCTCTGACTCAGAAACAGAATCTTGGAGTGGTGTTAGAAGGAAGAATCCCTGTGGGGGAAGAGGCAGAAGAGTGTGTATAAGACATACAGGGCCTGTCCTCCATGCTCACCAGGAATCAAACTGGCAGCCTCTATGGCCTATGTTTTGTACTGTACTTGGCACAGAAGTAAGTGTGAATCTCTAGACCCTAATAGAGGCAGGATTGCTATTCTGTCTCTGCCCTCGACTCAGTGGAGGTGTGAGGAAATGTGATCTAGATAATTCTTGCACCCTAAATCTGAAGACAGCTCACCTAATGGAAAATACAGAACATCCATCCTGATAGACAAGCCCAATGCTGAGATCATGGTCCGGGTGTGACGGAAGGCATGTCTAACCTGACAAAGGCAGGGATTAGGGGCTTGGGAGAAGAGCAGTCACACTGATGCCTTACGCCATCCCCAACATTGAGCAATCACTTGCCTCGTATATCTATCTGCAGAATCCAGAGAGTCTTTGGAGTTTGCTGTAGAGGGAAATGGGACTGAGATATGAAATGGACTTGCAGGTAGGAAGGAACAAAGCCTAATATGTGTAAAATGGATTTAGGCAGACAACATCTCTGAAGACAAACTCTGTCATAGATAAAAGACTGACACTTAGCCATTGTGGAATTTAAGAACAATCTAAAGATATCACTATATATAACTCAGGTGTATTTAGCCTAACTTTCTGAAATTAAAGGCTTATCCAAAAACACAGATGTGTACTTCCTTAAGTCCAGGGATAGGTACAGCTTTGGGGAAAAGCATCTCCTTTATTAGATGATGACATTCAAATCTCAATATCTGGGTCTTTCTCTCTCTCAATCTCTTTCTCACGGCTCCCCATTCCCTTCAAAAAAGTGAAAGGAAGTGAAAGTCAAAGGTCTGTGGTCAAAGGTTTGTGGGTTGCAACAGCCTAACGTTGAACTTTGGTCATTTGAGACCAAACCTAGAGTACTTTTTGCACATCCCTCTGGTCGGGAAGCTGATAAAGAAGTGGGGGGGGGGGCACCGTTATCACGACTAGCCCTTAAGCTTTAAACGGAAGGAAGGAAAATGGTTGGGTGCGATATTTTTAATAGCGAGGAGGTGAGGGGCGGGGATGGGGGGAAAGGAAAGGGCAAACTTAGTAGGGAGAAAGACACTACTGAGCTTTGAACCTTCAAACTCGGCTCCTTGTCTACCTCTGTGGCACACCCCCCCCCCCCCACCACCACCACCATCTAGTTGTCTGTTTTAAGCCAAAGCTGATGATAGTGAGCTCTAAGGAGGAGAGAGAGTTGCCAGAGTTTGGTGCAGGGGCTCGGTGTGACCATATTGGCAGAGCTGCCTGGTCCCCACAGCCACAGGCAGCATTGCATAAGGCCCCGCGCGCGCGCGCGCGCGCGCGCGAGCACTGCGCGCAGCCGCTGGCTGGGTCCCGGGCAAACAGCTGGACCTTGGAACTCCGCCCTCCAGAGGCCCTCCCCCCCCCCTCCGCCTCCTTCTCCTCCCCCCTCCCCCCCCCCCCCCCCCCCCGCCAGGCCCTCCCCCGCCTCCTCTCCTAAGTGGCCGGGACTCTGAGTAAGTCCGTTCGTGGTGGCGGAGGGGACTGGCGCGCTGTGGCAGCCCTGGGGCGACGCTGAAGTTTTCTCCCCGCTGCGCTGGAACTCACCCCCGGCAGCTGGCGCCCGGGCCATGCGGGAGCGCTGGGGACGCGCAGCAGCAGCAGCAGCAGCAGCAGCAGCAGCAGCAGCAGCATGAAGGGCGGCGATCGGGCTTACTCCCGAGGTCCCTCTTTGGGGTGGCTCTTGGCGAAGTGCTGCTGTTGCTTCCCTTGCAGAGGTGAGTGGCGGTGGGCGTTGGTCCCTCCGGAGCAGCGGGGCGCAGAGCAGGCAGCTGGGGCCCGGAGGAGGCGGGGTGGGGAGAGGGCGCATGGCGAGCCGCCTTGGTGGCAGTTTTCCCAGGAAGCAGAACGCGTGGGATGTCTCTGTCCCCGGGGAGATTTTTTTTTTTTAACTTTCAGAGTTGCCGTTTGGGGTCGCATTTACTTCCTGGAGACATCAGATGTCAGGGTGCCAACCTGCTGGAAGGGTGCAGATGCGCAGGGGCTGTGTCTGGGGCTCACTGCACTGCTCCTTTACCTATGGATCTCCGTCGGGACTCCGATGTGACTCCTACCTATAGGAATGTGTTTGACACTTGTGTCTACACTAGGAACTATTTTTGCCGAGTGACAATTTTCTTTCCTCTGCTGAGGCGTTCCTCAGGCCAGTGTGAATTTGCAGCTCTGGGCCTCAGTCCTTGGTTTTCATTAATTAACCGAGAAGTCTGGCTGTACCCAATCAGGACTGTGTTTAATTATTCTGCTCATTTTAATGTCGTCGAGGACACTTGCAGGAAATAACCAGTTTTCCCCAAAGTAGCCTGCAAATGCATAGGGTGAAAAGGATCCGGAGGGTGATGGATCCTGTAGTTTCTGAGGAAGAAACGCTGTTCATGTCACTTTACCACTTTACCACGGGGAACCAGGGAAAAGAGGATGTTTCTGTGTCATTAGAGGTGAGACCACAGCCTCTTTCTTGACGTTTGCCCTTTTTACAAAGTTTCTCCTGTGGGACCTCTGCATCCACACCTCCTCTCCGCTGTGGCATCTATGCAGAACCCTGATGCAACTTCTTCTAAGTGACCCTTCACCGTTCTCTAAGCCCCACACATGACCTAACCCTGACAGAGTCCCCCTGCTGAGCAGATTTATGGTTACAAAAACTAATTAATCTCACCTATCTTGTCCCATGTCGTTATGGTTCATAGTCCCAGTATTAGATTGTTCTGTATCTGCATTAATTAGAACATCCTAGAAGTATGTGGTATCCATAGGCTCACTTCAAAAGGAGTTGGCTGGGACCCTGAGAGCCTGTTTGTGAGAACTGAAGGAGGAGTGTCAAAGGAGAGGAGAGGAAGCAGGATATGGCCAGAGGGAATCTGAGTGGGTGGGTTTGCTCTGAAGGCTGTGATGCCATGAGTGAAGGATTCCCAGGCAGGATTTTTTTTTCTTCCGAGCCCATTTCTGGACCTCAGAAAATGTGGGGGTTTGGGCTTCACTAACCCAAAGCCCCTGCAGCCAGCCTTCCTCAGTACACAAGTGGTAGCCCCATTCCCTACAGGGTAATGGGTCCAGGGTCTCTAAGTCCTGGGTTTGTGGATTGCGCTAGCTCTCCCACAGTCTCAGGCCCATCAGAGGAGCAGTGGGGAGTCAGTGTCACCTGGAACATGATGGGGACCAGGAACATGATGGCTCTGTGGCTAGGACTGAGGCTCCTGAGAGAGGATGTTGCTGAATCCGGAACTGCAGCAGACCATGGACCCTCTGATGAAGATAGGAGACTGGACAATGAGAGCAGCTTAAAGGGAAAATAAAAGGGTTACGAGGGTCTATCACCTCCATGGAGGTGAAAATCTGGGGCTCAAGGTTGACATAGGGTGGTAGGGGCTTGCCATCTGAGCTATGAGGGTACTCCTTGGGCTCCCCTGTAGTCTAGATCGAGCAGAAAAAGAAATGAGGCTCTCCTTTCAGCCTGAGGGCATCAATTCTCTGGAGAAGATAAGGTCTGTGATCTGTGTAAGACTTGGCCAGCTACAGAGAGGGCTGCAGGAACGTCTTAGAAGTGGCTGGAGTAGACAGTGTTCACAGCAGGGAGCCCTCTGCCTCCCTTCTGTAAAACCAGTTTCTCTGGTCTTTCAGATGTGCAATTAAAAGGCAGCCTCCCCACTAGAGGGCTTTAAATAAAAGCAGCTAGTTGTTTGGTCTCTATACCTGCTTCTGAGGGAAGTTGGCTTTCTATACTGCCTGAGTAGTTTCCTTCCAAGCTTATGGATCAGAGCCCGCTGTTGTGAATTCTGGTTACTTGGCCTCCAGTCTTTGTCCTTTCAGGTTATAAAGAGACACCTTCCTAAAACCTGAAGAAAGAGACACACAAGTAAAAGAAACCAAGAAGTAGAATGGTGTGCGTGCGTGCGTGTGTGTGTGCGCGCTCCTGTGTGCCAGTACTGAGGTTTGAATTCAGGGCCTTGCCCTTCCACTTTGGCTTTTTTTTACTGAAAGGTGGCGCTCTAACACTTGAGCCACAGCTCCACTTCCAGCCTTTTGCTAGCTAATTGGAGATAAGAGTCTTGGATTTGTCTGATTTGTCTGCCTCTGTTGGCTTTGAACCTCCATTCTCAGATCTCTGCCTCCTGAGAAACTAGGATTCCAGGTCACCAGTGCCTGGCTATATGGTTATTTTGCATTCAAGGCTAAGGGATCCATGCTGGAATTTCTCTGGAGAATCCTAATTGGCTATCATGGTTATCACTGAGATTAAGTGTCAAAGATTCAGTGGTAGTACCTTTGTGGCTTATAAATATCACTTCTGGTGGAAAACTGTATAATTCAGCCAGGCTTATTTTTTGATTTGGAAAGGTGGGTTTCTTTTCTTTCTTTCTTTGGTTCTGTTGAGTTTGGGAATAGTAAAAGGGTTTTTTGGAAAGATAGTCTACCTTGAAATGGGTGTTGAAGGAAGAAGAGAAACCTGAAAAACAAGAGTAGGAAGGAAATAGAGAGCAGGTGAGAAGAAAGACCCAACACAAATACATTTACAGCTGCCTCTTTTGAAAGTGGGAAAACAACCTAAAGTGTGATCGACAATAACCTGCATGAGGCTGGAGGAAGATAAATCATTGCTGTCACACTCTGTGAGGACCCTGGGGATTGCTTTGGCTAGTCAAACTGTCCTTTAAGCCTAAAGAAGTGAGGCAGTTCTGGAGACTAGTTGTCTTAAGGTTTAAGAAAACCGCTTCTTTCAAAGTGACAAAACTATTTCAAATCACTTGGAAGTTGCTAAGTTATAAATCCTGTTGGAATTTTTAATTTCTTAGATCATATAATCTAGATGTTTACTGACCAATTTTAAAGCCCTTCAAGTCAATTTGTTAGTTTTCTTTGTCAACTTATAATTAACTTTGGAAATGTGGTCAGGAGGCCCTTTTGGAAGCCTGACCACCCTCTTCTCCATTATGTGCACGGGATTTATTTGTTCTTGTTTATTGCTCTATCGATGTGCCCTCGTTTCTCTGCACTTACATGGAGAGAATTCACTAGTCTGAGCAACTCAAGGAGTAAGAAAGGGGCTGGTGGCTTAGCTAAGGTGAGTCAGTTTACCAGGGGAGGTGCTGGAATCACATGATCATGGTCCTGTCACAGCAGAGATGTTTGGTTTCCTGCTTGACTATAGCTTAAAGAGTGCTGACCAGACTTGGGTGGGGATAGGAAGGAGGGCAGCAAAGAGTCCCTAAAATCGTCCTCATCGGTAATTGGTTTCTTCTTTACCTTTTCTAACTAGGAACCTTATGGCTTGATAAGTTTTATCCTTGGCCTATAAATCAATACACCTCCTTTTATAAAGTAAATTTAATGTGTGAAATCATGACAGTAAGTTCCTTCAGAAAGGTGCTGCTAACCTTGAAGACATACCTTGTGATACTGTTGCATACTTGAACTCAATAACTAAGGGACAAAATCCTTGCCACCTAGATGCATGGTTTTTTTTGTGTGTGTTTTAAATTTCCTAATCTTCTAACAAGTACCCTGATTATGGTGGTGGTGGTAGTAGTAGTAACAAACTTTTTAACTGGCCATTTGGCCTGTATTTGTTTTACCAATAGCTCTCTCTGCTCTTCTTTGCCTCCTTCCCAAGAATAACACTAATCTAGGGAGAAGTACACCCAAATCCTGTGCTGTCTTCCCAGATCTGCCTCTCCTAACTAGTAAGGAGTGTTATCCAGCTATTACCTAGATAACAGTACTGACTGCTGGTTATCATGTCACCTAATAAAAATGGGACTAGAAAAGGTGTGGGTCTGAAACCTGAGCAGAAGGGACTTCTCAAGCAGAAAGTGCTGCTGGAAATTAGGGCTGGAAGTAACCTTGGGATTATTTCATCCCATCCTTCTTTTCTACAGGAGGAAACTGAGGTCCAACCATTAGTCACAGAATCCTTTTCCAGATCCTCAATTCCATTGTAGCATGTAGCATCTCTTCACAAAGGCACAGCTTACTCTACTGAAAAGGGCAGAGACTATTCCCAAGCAGAAGCTCTAGGTTTGACAGTGGAATTATTTATTGCTCTTAGGGGTGATTATGTTCCCTACCTGGTCTTCTTTTTAGTCTGTTTTCATTTTAAAGAAACAGGGTCTCTGTAGTGTCAAGGCTGACCTATCCCCCCCCCCCCCCCCCCCGCTCCTGCCCCTGGCTCAAACCATTCTCCTGACTCATTCTCCTCTTCAAGTAGCTACAACCACAGTCATGCACCACCTCACCTGGCTTGTCTCTGTTCTTGATGTGTGCCCTGTCAGGTGGAAATGAATCAATGAAATGCATTCCTATCATTCCATCTTGGACTGTCCCTGGTTTTTATGTAGCACATAATGTTTTAATTCATTTGACAAATGTTTATGAGCTGACTGCATGCCGGCCTAGCCCTGGGTGCCTAAGAGAGGATGGAGATCATAATGGTGCTTACTCCCCTCGGCTGTGGGGAGGATTAGTTAAGATAATGTCTGTAAAGGGTTTAGCCAGGCACATAAAGTGCTTTTTTAAAAAGTGCTGCTATTAATGATAACAATAATTCCAGACATAGACTCCCATCCCCAGAGAGACTCTCAACTAATTCTTTGTGGGCCTCTGGTTGGTAATATGGGGAAGTTCATGGTCTTGGCTCCAACTGTTGTCAGTGTTATGCCTCAGTGTGAAGTTGTCACTGGAAGAGAAGAAAGTTTGTCATTTCCTTTATATAAAAAAGCCAAAA